GCAAAAATATGCAGACACTGGATTTGCAGAAGAGTAGTCAAAGGGCCAGTTTCTAATTCATTCTCCCCCCCACCCCCTACCTCCCATGCATTGCCAAATAACAAGATCCCAGTTGCCCATGGGACAACTAGTTCATGCATCTTGAGTCCTAGAACATCCCCAAATTTCTTAAGGGATTATGGAAGACTCTAAATCCATCTTTTCTCTACTTGCTGCAATTCCTGAACATCTTGCACAGGACCAAAAGGGAGTTTAGTAACTCAGGTAGTAATTCTTCCTTCCTAAGACTCTGAGAGCAGGATGTCACTGTGGGCTGCCTCCTGTGTGATGGGAGGTACCAGATTGCATGATCCTGAGTTGAAGGCCTCTGGTCAGATGTAAGCTCTATGTGTGGGATCAAAAGAATTCATTCTAAAAACTTGTGATCATAATGTGAACATTATTTTGAATTTTCATTAATTTCAGCAATGGGCTTTGACAAGTTGTATAATTTAAATGTTAAACTTGAAACCACAGCCAGGTCAATCATGACCATTGGCAACGTTATGCAGACAGCAACTTCTTATCTGATGAAATCAGCACCCGAAGGAATTTTGATCCTACAACCCCTTCTTTTGTTAAGATATACCTCATTTTATTGCACTTTGCTTTATTGTACTTTCAGATACTGTGTTTTTTACAGATTGAAGGTTTATGGCAACCCTGCATCCAACAAGTCTATTGGCACCATTTTTTCCTCCAACAGCATTTGCTGTATGTCACATTTAGCTAATTCTCACAATATTTCAAACTTTTTTGTCATTATTGTATTTGTTATGCTGATTGACGATAAAGGATCTTTGATATTACTATTGTAATTGTTTTGGGGGCCACAAATTGCACTCATAGAAGACGATGGAGGTTGTGTGTATTTTGACTGCTCCACCAACTGGCAGTGGCCCTTCTCTCTCTCTCCCCTCTGGCCTTCCCGGTCTCTGAGACACAACAATATTGAAATCAGGACAATTAACAAGCCTACAATGGCCTCCGACTGTTGCAATAAAAGGAAGAGTCTCACATCTCTCACTCTACATCAAAAGCTACAAATGATTAAGCTTAGTGAGAAAAGCATGTTGGAAGCTGAGACAGGCCAAAAGCTAATCCTCTTGCTCCAAACAGTTAGCCAAATTGTAATGCAAAGGAAAAGTTCCTAAAGGAAATTAAAGGTGCTACTCTCAATGAATGTATGAATGGTAAGAAGGTGAGATGCCTGTTGCTGATAGGGAGAAAGTTTTAGAGATCTGGCTAAAAGATCAAACCAGCCACATAATTCTTTGAAGCCAAAGCCTAATCCAGAGCAAGGCCCTAACTCTTCAATCCTGCGAAGGCTGGGAGAGGTAAGGAGGCTGCAGAAGAAAAGTATGAAACCAGTGAAGGTTGGTTCATGAGGTTCAAGGAAGGAAGCTGCCCTTTGAACATCAAAGGACAAAGTGAAGCAGCAGATGCTGATGTAGAAGCCACAGCAAGTTATTCAGAAGATCTAACTGTGATAATTTGTGAAGGTGACTACACTAAACAGCAGATTTTTAATGTAGATAAAACAGCTTTCTATCAGGAGAAGATACCATCTAGGACTTTCATAGCTAGAGAGGAGAAGCCAATGCCCCGTTTCACAGATTCGAAGGACAGGCTGACTCTCTTGTTAGGAAGTGATGCAGCTGGTGATTTGCAGTTGGAGCCAATGCTCATTTCCTATTCTGAAAATTCTAGGGCTCTTAAGAATTAGGCCTAGTCTACTATGTCTGTGCTCTGTCAGTGGAACAGTAGAGGCTGGATGACCAGCACATCTTTTTACAATATGGTTTCCTGAATAGTTTAAGCCCACTGTTGTGACCTACTGCTCAGGAAAAAAAGATCCCCTTCAAAATACGAGTGCTCATTGACAATGCAACTGGTCACCCAAGAGCTCTGATGGAGATGTACAAGGTCAATATTGTTTTCATGCCTGCTAACACAACATCCATTCTGCAGCTCATGGATCAGAAGTAATTATGACTTTCGACTCTTATTATTTAACAAATACATCCTATAGATTGAGTGGCTCAGTCCGTTAAGCACCTGACTCTTGATTTTGACTTAGGTCATGATCTCAGAGTTGTGAGACTGAGCCCCGTGTTGGACTCCACACTGAGTGTAGAGCCTGCTTAATATTCTCTCTCCCTCTGCTCCTATCCACCTTCCTACCTTCCCCACTCAGGCTCTCAATCTAAGAAAGAAAGAAAGAAAGAAAGAAAGAAAGAAAGAAAGAAAGAAAGAAAGAAAGAAAGAAAGAAAGAAAGAAAGAAAGAAAGAAAGAGGGAGGGAGGGAGGGAGGGAGGGAGGGAGGGAGGAAGGAAGGAAGGAAGGAAGGAAGGAAGGAAGGAAGGAAGGAAAAGAAAGAAACACATTTTATAAGGCTATAGCTGCCATAAATAATGATTCCTCCTCTGATTGACGTGGCAAAATAAATTGAAACCTTCTGGAAAGGATTCACCATTCTGGATGCCATTAAGCACATTTGTAATTCATGGGAAAAGGTCAAAATGTCAACATTAACAAGTGTTTGGAGGAAGTTGATTCCAACTCTCCTGGATGACTTTGAGGAATTGAAGACTTCAGGGGGAAGAAATGCCTACAGGTGTAGTAGAAGTAGCACGAGAACTAGAATTAGAAGTGGAGCCTGCAGATGGGACTGAATCATGCAACTTCCTGATAAAACTTTAATGGATGACGAGTTGCTTCTTGTGTCCAAGCAAAGAAGATGGTTTCTTGAGATGGAATCTACTCCTGGTGAAGATGCTGAAGATACTGTTAAGACTGTTGCAGTGACAACAAAGGAGTTTGAATATTATATAAGCTTAGTTGATAAAGCGGTGGCGGGCTGTGGGAGGATTGACTCCAATCTTGAAAGAAGTTCTACAGTGGGTGAAACGCTATCAAACAGCATCACATGCCACGGAGAGATCATTCGCGAAAGGAAGCATCAATTGATTCAGTAAACTTCATTGGCTTATTTTAAGTACTCGTCTCATCCTCCCCAGCCTTCAGCAACCAGCACCCTGACCAGTCAGCAGCCATCAACACTGAGGCAAGACCCTCCACCACAAGGAAATCAGGACCTGCTAAAAGCTCAGATGATGGTTAGCGTTTTTGCAATAGGATATGTGCATTGTTTTTTAGACATAATGCTATTGCACACTTACTAGATGACATATCATGTAAACATAATTTTTATATGCACGGGGAAACCGGAAAATCCTTTGACTCCCTTCCTTGCAATTGTTGCTTTATTGCTGTTCTGGAACCCACCTGCAGTATCTCCAAGGGATACCTGTACTTCTTGAGTTGTAAGCTTTCTTTTTTTAAAAAACTAACAACCGAAACTAGTTCTCCTCAGGCTTCTTACCCTGTAGTGTCAGTTGGGTGGGTTCTCTCCTAATGTTTCCTTAGACTTAAAGAAATTACAGCTTTTTAACAGGCCTCCTGTGTTCACAGTCCCAGGAAAAAATAGGGTTGAATTCCCACATTCGAGTCATCTTGCTTTCTTCCCCTCTCATTGAATGTACTGGAAAGATCCTCCTGTTTTTATTTGCAAAACGTTTTTCTTTCCTGATTCTGGACTCTGTCAACTTCCAGGCTCCACTGGAAACCTTGGTGTCGGGGCTACGTAGATCATCAGCTCTTCGGTGTCTGCAAGAACTTATTTACAAATTATCCCTTTTGTCTTCCGGTAATCAAGTCGTTCCTCTTCAGCATTAAAGCAAATGACCGGAGTCTGATTCCAGTTGCTTTTTGTAGTCTGACGGTGTTAGGGCGAAGTTGAAATTGAAACTTGCTTAATTGTCCAACATTTTACTTTTAACTTCGTGCTTTAAAGGAAAAGGCAAAAGCTGTGAGTGTGAAGTGTGTCTTCAGTGATGATTTAGAACCTTCTAATCATTGATTCAGGCGTGTCTTTGGAGTGTTCACTCTTCAGAGTCTACAGCTTCCTCATTTGTGCCTCAAGGGGTGTGAAAGAACGTGGCCCGGGTGCCACCTGATGCATGAGTTTCCACATCCTTTACTTAATAAACAGCACTGGGGTGTGTACCTAAGACATTATTAGAGGCCTTCGGGTTGTCCATTGCTCACAACCTTCTCTTCTCCTTCTCCCTTCCCTGGGCTGCAAGCCCACTGCGAATCCCCCTGGATGTCCAGCGGGTCTCCTGGGTTGCTCTGAAGAGTTTTCTTCTAGAGAGGGGTAAAGATGGGAGAGGGGTTTCAGTTATATCACATGGAATTGCCATGTTTTTATGTCAAGATCAGTAGACTATCGATAGTTTCGTGAGGTTCCACCTAACGGTTTCTCCTGATAAATGTTCTACGTCAAACAGAAGTACATTTTGAAGTGTGCGTTGGCCTACAACCCACTATGGAGTTACTTAAAACAGAAGCTTCAAGTTTTTCCAATCAGGAAACTCATTCTTCCTCCTTACCTGTTTTATTTATTTTTTTTCTGAGAATCACAGAAATAACAGACAAAACCCTCATATTTGGAGAAACTCGTGTATTTTGAGTCTGTTGCGAAATAAGTAGAAAATCCGTTGGTCCCTGTGATAGAATTTTTTTCTGAAAGTTCTAACTGGGAGTTATCATGGAAACTGCTTTGAGACCTTAACCAGAGCGTGCACTATAAATAAGAGAGGAGCAGAAGATTAATAAATCTGATAAAGCTGAGAAAGAAGAAAACTTAAAATAAGAAATGAGGACTGTTCTTTAGTTGGGGCATTAATACGGCCCTGAGTGTGTGTGTGTGTGTGTGTGTGTGTGTGTATGAAAATCAAAGACTTGCTAAAGGCAGGGAGTGTGAAGCCGTAGCTACTAATGTGTGCTTAACTCTATTGCCTGGGAGATTTTATTAAATGCAGCGGCCAAGGAAATTGACCTCACTTTTTTTTTCCTTTTTTGGGTTGGATCCTTGCTCACGTCACATAAATGAATAGAGCTGACAATTTACTGGCTCATCAATGAAACAATATTAAATTATGAAGATGTAAGGAAAAAATCCTTCGCTAACATTGTTGCAGTTTGAAAGGTAAGCTGCCCCCTACAAGAGTAGGAGATATTAATGTTCTTTACCAAACCTATATAACATAAGGCCAGGTGATACACATTATAGGATGAAGTGGCTTCTTGATGGCTTTGATTCACTGTGGTCCTGGCATGTATCTCATTAACAATGTTCATGAAGAGGCTCCCACGTTTCTCTCATTCTTTTAAAATGCAAAAAAAAAAAAAAAAAAAAACATCGTCTTTCATGCTTCTAAAGTGTTTTATTTTATGGAATATTCTGACAAATTTGACTTTACTGAGGATGTGTTGCAGGGACCCTGGGGTTTCCTTTTGAAAAGAACCTGTTTTTATTGATTCACTATATTGGCCATTAAGCCATGGCTTTCAGGGTTAGACTGTTTCTGAATTCTTGTCTTTGGGGCTGCACAAGAAGTAAAATACTGTTTTACTTTATATCTTGTCCTGTGCTTGAGATAGGAAGCCTTCTCTTCTTAATTCTGTCTTCTGTGAACTTACTAGAAAAACTTGGTATGCCATCTATTACCAACTGAATACCTAGTACTTTCAAGTGTGCCTAGATGTTAAGTGTTTTTCACTTTATTTTTGAAGGAAAATCGTCCTACTGTTCTTGGTTACCATCAGTTATTCAGTTGGTCAACCAGACCCAGGTCCGTCTCATGCATTTGTGAGCCCGGTTATAATGACAATCCGATAGGATCAGAATATGGAGGTTCTTTTTGGTGGAACCGTCCCTGCTTCCATCTGACTCCCAGATTTGTTCACAATTCAGGAAAGGTGACCCCCCACACACACCCCATGGTCAGCTCTTCCAAGGTCATACCAATGATTTACCTGTTACCCCCCAGTCCCACCTGCAGAGGCTGGTGCAGAGTAGGTGTGCAGGAAATCTGTGCACGCTCCCTGCCGGTGATGCCCACCCCCCCAACTCAGTACTGAACCCTCTGCAGTAAGTCAGATTTTCTGAGCAGCATTCAGCAGATTTTTGCTTCAATGTGGAAAATGGCACTTTAGAAGTCGAATTACCTTTTTCATGGCACCCAAGTTGCTTAATTTGCAAATTGAGAATAATTTAGGCAATGGGAGAATATGTTTCCATGTGTGAAGTGGATTGAAATGAGTTTTGTGTTCTCTGCTCCTTCAGCTCAAACTATCAAAAAATGGAGATCTGGCCAAAAATCATTCAGTTATATGATTCCGGGATATCATCTGTTGTTTTGCGTGGCATCAGTTTAGCTTTAATTATTGGTGATACTTAAAATCCGTGCTTCTGATAAACTGCGAGTGTGCCCTGCTTTAAGGAACCGGAATGGGCTTCAGATTTATCCTTATGGTGCCTTTGCATGAAGGGACAGTTATTTGCGCTCTAAAAATACCTTGGCTTTATAAAATAATTTATCACAAGATTCCTTTAAATAACCAGCTCTCTTAGAGCATTCAAAATATGATTTGATTTGAAAAATCAATGTCCACTCAACTTTTCAAGAACACATCTGCTTTGTAATGTGAGGCAGGTGAAGGGAGAAAAACCAGGCAAGAAGGAATGAGGATCTTAAGTGAGCTGAATAGGAATTAATTTTAATTTAGAAAAGAATTTACTTTTCTAGAGTTTCCCGGGGAAAACACCTTCACCTTTATCACCTCCAAAGTACATAAAAGGGGGAAAAAAAAAAGCAGGCCAATTTGAGTTTGGAGAAGATAAATCTATTTCTCTGGTGGGTCACATTCTGCATTATGCATGTGCGTAAAAGTGAGGTTTGCTTTGATCCTGACTATTAAAAGTTTATTTTTAAACTCAGACTGGGCAGGGATCCAGCGATGCTCTTTCCCCCTGCAGCACATCCTGGTTTCAGGTCCTCAGCCCGGCGGAATGGAACTAAGCAGCAGGAAGTAGTTGAAAAGTGTGGAGACTTGATGAGTGTTGAGGGTTTTTTCCCCCCTTCTTCCCCTCCATTTTTGAAATTCAAATTGAATGCAATTTTCAGCTCATTTGAGCCAGAATATACTGTTGCTGAGCTTCAGTGGCTCTTAAATTCAAACTCACAGGAGAAAACAGATATCATTTGTCACAGAGGGTGGGAGAGAGAGAACACTCCCCTCATTTTATTCATGGGAGGCAGAGTTCTAGTAACTAATTCAGACCTTTCTGACTAATCGACTAATCATTCACCAGCAAACTTATCAACTAATCAATGAAACCTTTAAGACACTCATCTTCGGAAGTTGGGAGCAATTTCCCCCTCCCTTTAAAACAAAGTCATTGTTCAAGTCTATTTTTGTATTGTTGGGATCTTAATACCTTTTTTTGCAAACTGAGACAGACTATCATGGCAATCTTTTTCCTGCCCTTCCTGACAATTTTATGGTTTCCATCTTTAATGTCTTTGTCAATGCTCTTTATTTATGACAGAGGATTAGCAGAAAGCCTACTGCTGGCTGAGTGAGGCCAAAAATTTTGAGTTTTTTTTCCTTCACCAAATGGACTGCCTGAAAAAGAGTCTTCTTTCTTGGGGCAAATGTAAATACCAATTAAAAGAGGAAGACCCACTCGTGCAGTCCTTGAGTTTGCAAGTGTGTCTTATCTTCAGGGTGGCTTCTTCAGCATGGCTTGAGAATGCCTCTCAGGAAACTTCTGCCACTGGATATGTGCCCGGGAAATGCAAATGATTTGAACAAATGATAATCTGAAATCCCTGCTCTAATTTCAGAAAGGATGTGATGTTGCAATTCTGATCCTGAAATATAGGTTTTATGCCTTACCGCTGGTGCTTATCTTTGACTGTTTTAATGTAATCCAAAATTTCCATGGGAACATGAAGTCCATTAGCCTTCTCTCCTCCTCTTCCTCCTCCTCCTCCTTCTTCTTCTTTTTCTTCTTCTTCTTCTTCTTCTTCTTCTTCTTCTTCTTCTTCTTCTTCTCCTCCTCCTCCTCCTCCTCCTCCTCCTCCTCCTCCTCCTCCTCCTCCTTCTTCTTCCTTCTTCTTTCTGTCAAGGTCTGTGAGAGACAATTATGATGTTATTTCAAAGTGAGTAGGAGAAAAACAATGCTCCCTAAATATTATCTCTAATGAAATTAGCTCCTACCCATCACATTTGGAGTTTAAAAATGCTCTGCAATGAGTATATGATCAAGCCATATATATTTGTGCTTATGTGTGTATGTGTCTACGTGTCTCCAAGGTGTCCAAGAATGTGACAGCAGGAATTTCTAAATAGTCATTTTCACATTAATAAAGGCGTCAATGACTTTATCCTCTGTGTGGTAATGTGCTTGTGCATTCGGCCCCTGGTAGCAGACATTTATCTCATTGCTTTTATAAAAAGGAATACCCTAACTTGTTAACCTGTCTTCTCGCTATTATACCTTAAGACCATATTGTTATTTCTTTGACTTCAGTATAAGAAGCCAAAAACCTACCTTGACAAGGAATCCACATTTTAGTTAATTACTAAGGTAGTTAATAGAATTTTAATTTTTCTTCTAAAATATCAGATTGCTTCAATATGCAAGTAATTACCGACTGCTTACTATATGCTAGACATCCATTGTACTAAGATTTATAACATATAGAATAGTGGCTTTCTAAATCCAAGTGAGGTAGACATAGAAGATGAAGTATCAGCATCAGCTAGGCAGAGAAGGTAAAGCTTGAGAAGCCCCCAGGTTCTCAAATGATTCTCAAAGATGCAGTCCTTCTCCTTGTCCCCAGGTGGTAGCCACTGGTCTGAAACAAATATGATTTAACTTGAAGGTGGGAGAAAGGATGATACACAAAAATCAGTGAAAAGGATAAGAAATATGCATTTTTAGGTGCTAAATGTATCCTATTCCTCAAACAATGCTTACATCACTGGGTAGGGGAAGGCAAGTGGGGTGCTGTCATCCTGCATTGTAAAGTGGGTAGGGCCAGGGGTCAGTGGAAGAAAAGGGGGAGAGCCAGTTCAGGAGGGAGGAGAAGGCTGGAGTAGAAGGGAGAACATTTGAAGCAGGGGCTCAGAGGTGTGCTGGAGCTTAACTCACACCCTGAGGGCCAATTGTTAAATTTCTAGAAATTTCATGAGCCAGCTTTTATGACATATTATTAAAAATTAAATTACATAAATTTACAAAAATTAAATTATATAATCTTATATGATTATTAATATGTATAATATGTAATTATATATTAATTATATATGTATAGTTATAATTAATTATATATCATAATTATATAATATATAATTATAATATATAATTATTCTTATATAATAAATCAACTATACTAAAAACAAATGTAACCAATACTGAAAATCATCACTTCCTAATTATTTCCCCTCATGCATTGCCATCACCTCTGCTCTTGAGATGTGCGCATCGTATCTGCATGGTAGAAATATGTGCTGCTGTGACATGTTGCCCATCTCTTCCCAACTGCACATTCCCTGATGCCGTGTTGGTAGCATGGGTGGATGCGTTAAGCATCTGCCTTTGGCTCAGGTTATGATCTTGGCGTCCTGGGATCCAGCCCCATGTCAGGTTCTCTGTTCGGCAGAGTCTACTTCTCCCTCTCCCTCTCTCTGTGTGTTCTCCCTCTCCCCTGCCACCCTCTCTGACTCTCAAAGAAAATAAATTAAAAACAAATAAAATGGGGAGACTGGGTACAGAGAAGTGAAGAGTCTGGCCAAGGAAAGGAGTGTGATTCAAATGCAGGCAGTTGCACCTAGAAGTTCACTCTGTTTGCTGCTGTTCAGTGCAAAAATGACAAACCACAGTGACCCGCCACCTGGAGCATTTCTGAGAAACTGAACTAATAGTATCATTTAGGAGCGAGAAGGGCACTCCTTCAGTTGTAGATAATTAACATTTTGGATGTGGGGAATCTAAGTGACGAGGCCCTCCTAGCAAATCAGCTTAGAGAAGGAACACAAGCCCAAAATAGAGAAAACCCCTGCGCGTAGATGTGAGAAAATATTCATCATCACAGGGATTAAGCATAGAAAGAAAAGCTTTAGGGAAAAAGTAAG